AGCCCTGGGCATGACTATATTAAATACGCTGTATGATGGTATTACTTGATCCTGTTATCTTTTCTATACTGGCTATTTCTTTTTGATCTGCAACTGATACAGCTGTTATTACAGTACAGTCACCAAATTTTCTTTTCAAAAGGCTTCATCCTGAGAGACCATTCTGCACTTCCGTGTTTTTTTTTCTAGTGGTTTCAAGCTTATATTACTAACTTAAAACACCACTACTCCCAGTTAAAATTATGCTATAAAAATTATTTTTATATTTTAAAAAGGTAAAAGGTAAAGGACACAAGTCACAAAATATAGAATGTTTACTAATCCCGCCCCATCACACACAGAGCCACAGGGCGATCAGGGGGTTTGGTTGTTGCCCCGTTATGCTGCTCCAGGGGTCAGGAGGCCTCGGAGCTCTGCTGATCCCAGTGCTGGGAGGCCTCGCTGCTCCGCTGATCCCAGTGCTGGGTGGCATATTACCCTTTTACTATATAGGCTAGAGGCCTGGTGCACGGGTGGGGGCCAGCTGGTTTGCCCTGAGGGGTGTCCTGGATCAGGGTGGGGGTTCCCACTGGGATGCCTGGCCAGCCTGGGTGAGAGGATGATGGCTGTTTGCAGCTGGTCACACCCCCTTCAGGGTAGGGGGCCCCACTGGGGTGCCTGGCCTGTCTGGGTGAGGGGCTGACGGCCGTTTTCAGGCTGATGGGTGACTGAAGCTCCCAACCCGTCCTTTTTTTCTTTTTTACAGACAGGAAGGGAGAGGGATAGAGAGTTAGAAAGATCAATGACAGAGAAACATCGCTCAGCTGCCTCCTGCACATTCCTTACTGGAGATGTGCTCGCAACCAAGGTACGTGCCCTTGACCAGAATCGAACCCGGGACCTTTCAGTCCGCAGACCGATGCTCTATCCACTGAGCCAAACCGGTTAGGGCAGGGCTTTTTTTTTTTATTCTGGACCAGCTTTAGCTCTGAGGCTTGGCTCCAGCTCTGAGGCCTCGGCTGCTGAAAGCAGGTATCTGGTTTGTTTGGGTTCTATAATTGTAACACTGTTGCAGTCCTGCTCACTCCAGCTCTGAGATCCTGGCTGGCTGAAAGCAGGGATCTGCGTTTGTTCTATAATTGAAACAATGTTGCGGTCCTGCTGGCTGAAGCCCGGCTGGCTGAAAGCAGGTTTTGGGGGTTTTGTTTAGCTTCTGTATTTGTAACAATGTTTCTTAAACTGCAAGCTCAGAGGCTGGCAAGGCAGGCGGGAACGTTAGCTTCCTCCGTCACTGAAGCTAGCAAGCCTCCTGTTCACTTCAAGCTGCCTGCTGCCATCTAGGTTGGCAGTTAATTTGCATATCGCCCTGATTAGCCAATGGGAAGAGTAGCAGAGGTACGGCTAATTACCATGTTTCTCTATTATTAGATAGGATGTGTAATTTGGTAGGTTATTTTTTGGGTCTTGGAAGGCTCTAAAATCTTTCTACATAAATTTAATATAACTGCTTCCATTTCACATCATTTTGGCTTATGAAAGGTTTATAGGAATGCTCTACTTATGGATAGTGGGGGAAACTTGTACTTCAGAATTACTTTGATTGTAATTCTGGTAATCAAGGCCAATAACAAGTATGTTTGAGTGCTAGTATTATTAAACTAGAGGCTCAGTGAACAAATCCGTGCACACTGAAAGGAAATTAATTAGAAAAAATATTTTAAAGGCCGGGAAGGGACCAGCCTGTCTCGCCCATTCCCAATCTGTTGGACCCTGGCAGCATGATAACCTACCAGTTGCAGTGTCTCCCCTTGGTAGTCAGTGTGCATCATAGTGACTGGTCAAGCGGTCAACTGATTGGTCGGACACTTAGCACATTAGGTTTTTTTATATATAGATATCTTAAAACAAGATTTGTGGAGTCAATGATATTTTTGTCTATTCTTCGTTGAAAGGAACTATGAGGGTTTAAGTCAATGAGAAACAAACCTCACTTCTCATTTGATAGCCCTGGGAGAGAATAGATTAGTGGGAAACCTTTCTGGCACTAACAGCTGAAACTGACAAGAGGACTGCACTCTGGGCAACAGGGAGACCACAATGCATCACATGTTCCTTGCCAGATGACACTTTAACATCTGACTCCATTTCTATGACCTCTCCTTTTGAAACAGTTCAGAAGATGGGAGTACAAGCAGTAGGCTGACAAGGACCAGGGAGGATCACTAACACCACATTTGCCAGAAGCTATAGCTCTATCCCTGAGGGAGAACGCACAGATTGTCTTGCCTTGAAGCTAGAACAGGGAATACCAGGGATGGATGGTTCATGCCAATTTCCTTTCTTTTTTTTTCTGTTGGCTCCTCTGAATACAAAAGGCATATTTTTCTCTTTTAAGTGCTTGGTACTACATGCTCAGTTCAATGAGCCCACAAGAGTGTGTTAAAAAGGAACCAGATCAACTGTTTCCCCAATAGCTCTAATTCCACAAGGTAACTCAGAAAAATCACACAGAACAGCTATAATACTATATATAACTGATAATGAAAATCAAGTACAACACAATCTCTGTCTAATCTCTCATACTGCTTATACCCAAACGGAAACGCTCACCATAATTAAAGTTGCCCAAATTGCCGCTGTATTTCCCACTAGGAGGATTATAAATCTGCCTTGCATCTCTTTTTGGTCCTGCTGGAGATTTCTTGGGTGGTGAACCAGAAGTTGTATCTTCAGTGGCCCTCTTTTGCCTATAACAGTGAAAAGAACCGCAATAAAAAAAATTGCATTAAATCAGAGGGACTTATAATTTAGCATAGGCACTCTAAAGATGATAGTCACACCAGAAAAAAGGAATAACATTCTGATGTCATCAAATTAACTGTGTCTTAGTTATGCAGACATTGGACAAGATTTACAAGGTTTTAAGATAATCTAGAATACGTAACTTCAAAGACTATATGCAAGTGAACCATTTTTAAAACTTGTCAGAAAGTCGTTATGCTACACAAATACAAATAGGCTGAAAAATCTAGGGCTGTATTCCATCAGTGTATTTTATAAGTACTGGAATTAGATATTATATTTTAAGTCATACTTCTAATAGTCATATTTTAACATCTGATTAAGAACCACTTAATAACGTACCACTTTGTACAGTAAATATAACATCTGAATTCAGATTTTCATATTTGTAAATCATAACCTTTAAATTCTTTTTAAATATAATTCTTACCCAATTTCAACCTTCTGTACAGGTTTCCAGGATAATGTTACTGTGCTCTTATAAGAGGGAGGAATGTGGAAGAGATCCTGAAGAGAAAAAATTAGACAAGATTTCTATATATTGATGGTAAGTGGAGTGGTTGGGTGGTGAGGGTAAGAAACTGGGAGACATCTTAAAGATTAATTTTAGGAAAGGAAGCTTTAATTTATCTTTCTTGCTCTTGTGCTGGTCCTAAAAAATGCTGCAAGAAAAAAACTAAACAAGGACAATTTTGTTAAAAGTTACACCTGTTACTACCCTGCTGGTGTTGCTCAGTGGTTGAGTGTCAACCTATGAACCAGGAGGTCACATTTGGATTCCAGGTCAGGGCACATGCCCAGGGTTGTGGGCTCGATCCCGGGTGTGGGGCATGCAGGAGACAGCCAATCAATGACTCTCTCATCACTGATGTTTGTTTCTCTCTCTCTCTCTCTCTCTCTCTCTCCTTTCCTCTCTGAAGTCAATAAGTATATATTAAAAATAATTCTTTTTCTAAAAGGTACACCTATTATTAATCCCTTTGTTTTGCACAACACTTAAGAAACTGAAGCTAAGTTTTTTCTAAATGTGACTTCAAGTTTCAGGATAAAATATCAATAACAAATAAGTATTTCTTTTGCATATTTTTAAGTAGTTCAGAACTAAAACACTACTTTTCTAGCAAGTTTGGGAGGACTGAGTAAGAAAGGAATAGTTATTACCTTGATTAAAACATTGATGTTATTTGTTATTTTCAATGCAACAACTTTAATCTTGTTCTGCAAAAAAAAAAAAAAAAAAATAGAATGCCAATAACTTTTACAATGCATATTCTATTACACTACTCTTTCAGAATCATTATTCCTGGTTTTTCTTTTTCCTATAAACCAGTGCAGAGATGGCAAAGGAAGTAAATAATCTTAACAGGTTAGAACATTAAAGTGTTATCTACAATCTACCTGAAAAAATGAGTAAGGGACAGGTCATATGCACATAGAAGTTATTTAAAAAATAATCAGTTTAAAAAATACACATTAGTTTAGCCTGGCAGGTGAGGCTTAATGGTTTAGCATCGACCTATGAACCAGGAGATCACATATCCACTCCTGGTCAGGGCACATGCCCAGGTTGAGGGCTTGATCCCCAGTGGGAGATGTACAGGATGCATCCGATCAATGATTTTCATCATTGATTTTCTATCTCTCTCTCCCTTTCCCTTTTTCTGTGAAACCAACAAAAATATATTTAAAAGTATAATCAGTTTAAGTTAAAGATAGACATGATGAAAACTTAAAATATTTCACTAGGATTGGGATGAAGAATGATCACAATAGATGAAACCAGGGAACCAAATATCCCAACATAAACAAAGTTTGGTATAGAATTAGCAATATAATATTTTTCCTAATATTGTCCCCCAATTTAGTATTTGGGTTTCAAAAAGATGAAATTAAAAATATAACAACCAATAATAGTTAAACAATACTAGTATATACTCCTTAATGAGATCCTAGGGCAAGATTGGTATGTATCTAAGTTTGGTAACATTTTCCACAAACATTGGAAACATTCAAAATATTGCAATGATGACAAAAATATAACTTAGCAAGTAACTAAAATATAACTTAGTAAATATGTAGACAATCTTCTAACATCATGTATCACAATACAGACTTATAGCACCATTTCAAATAAAGTCGCATGTTACATTTCAATGTATGAATACAGTCTGAATTGGTAATAAATGGTGACTATTATAAAAATTTCTTTTGAGATGTGACTCAGTATTCCTACCTCGTCTGTTTTTAAGGCTTCACCTGTTTTACCCTGGAGAGCCAAGCGAAGTTGCCTGATATAAACCTGCAGGCCCCGTGCAAAGTACTGCAGCCTAAAGGAAGAAGTATTTGTTAATTAGCAAATTATCACTTCAACTTTATTTTTCTACTTCAATTTAGACAAACGACACCTAGGGCAAGCAAACTGTATTGCCTTCTCAACAATTTCTCAACAACTAGTCATTGCTAGTTGGAGACACTTCGGAGCAGAGTAATATTAACTCCTTTTAACATGATCCAGCCCAGTTGTTTTCCTGACTTTGTTTTAGAATGAGTATCTTCTGTATCATCTAATATGAGGTTCACATATGCATCATAACCAATGGTAGCACTCTATCCGCATACTCTCTTGCTCATGAAGTCACACCTGAATCTGAGATCTAAAATCTCTGAATCTGAAAATATCTGAAGATGAGGTTGATGGGCTCACCATCACCTGCAGTTTTTGCCCCAACACAGTACACCATGTTGGAAGCTGGCAAAACCACACTAACCCGCTAGAGTAACTTAAGTTGCCTGCTTCTGATCAAATGTTTCATATTAAACCTCTGCTTTACCAAAGAGTAGAGAAGAGTAACAGATGATACAGAAGCTAAGCATTTCAAAATTTAAGATGTAAATTTGTTAACTTGGGGTGTTAGAACTTGTCCAAATCATAAAGCAAGTGGGGAGAGCCAGAGTCCATTTTTTTGGAAAAGTTCTTTCTCTCCCATATATGACAGATGTTATATGTTTGCACCCATTTCTGTTTTGTGGCTCTTCTATTTTGTTCCACTGGAATAGGGCAGGTGGGAAGACAACTCTTGTAAAAATGAAAATAAACCCAGGGAGCATCAGATAACCATCGTCTTTGCCAAGGATTAGACTATTTCAATCATACATCACCTAATTTTAAAATCTTTGAGCTTTTCTGCATTCAGTTTGGCTGTTAAGAAATCTGGAAGTTTTCGACCCAACTGGTGGAAGCTGTACAACAAACATTCCACATAACTGAATTGCAGCTTAGGTTCTTCATTACCAGCATTCTCCCCATTTTCTGCTTCTTCTGGAGGGAGAGGCATGTACTCCTAAGAGATGAAGATACAGAGATATTTGCAATCTGTTCTAAATAATTATAAGCATATAATTGTAGGGCATGCTTTTATGCTAAGGCATGAAGCATTAAAACATACCAAATCAGAAATTTAAGTAAGATATGTCTTTAGACCTTTTGGATCAATGATCTACACTGTCAATTCTCCATATTAGCCTATGTTATAACTGCTACTACTACTAACAATGACAATGAAAGTAGCTAACATTCATTAGACACTCAATGTAGGTGGAATTCTGAAAGCATAGTATCTTTCCTATGGTGAAAAAGTTAGTCAACCTAGGTTAACCTCATCAGTTGATGATCTTACCCTACTACATTAGGCTAATTCCAAAAATCTTCTTTGAATATTAGTCCATATTCTCTAAGTATTGACTCTTTTTCATTCAAAAAGTACCACCAAAGGCACCCTAGCAGGTATTACAGATACTGGATGACTCCATTCACACTATGGACCTAATGCTTATCACTGCATCATAACTGCTCAAACCCAACAAAATAATTTGGTAACTCTGATGATTTTATCAGACAGCCTATTTTCTCTACAATTATGACTTAAATGACTTTATTTCCTAGTTGCTAAACCTACCAGGCCTTGGACAGCAACCTGGTGAAATGCAACTGATGTAAAATTATTTTGATAGAGGACTAGCAGAACACCCTACTATATAAATCCTGTATTATACTTCATACAAAGCATCAACAGAAAAAATGCCGAAGATTAAAAATAGATTCTTTTTAAAAAGTAGAAAACATGTGGCCTGAGCAGCTAACAGCACTTGCTAATATTGTCTAACACTGTAACTTCAAAATCTGGCTCTCCATAATCTAGAAATTAATAGTACACTATTATACTCAGAGGCTACATAATTTCCATGGGGGAGGGGGAGTTCTTACCAATAGCTTATCAAACAATTTCCTTAAATTTGTTTCTAGCTTTTCCATGTCACCACAAAATGAACTCATTTCCGCCAACAGTTTCAATACCTAAAATACACAATTCACTGTTATATTATTTTCTTGAATAAGCAAGAACTGTAAAATAAGAATGATTCTAGATAACTACTTAAGACTGCTTAATTTTCAGTTGTACTTGTATGTAATCAGAATGTTTGACCTGAAAAAAATCATTTAGAGATGCAGCCCTATATTTTACTGTTGAGGAAACTAAAGGTCAAATAATAATATATGGCAGTTGCAAGGCAAGACCCTAACACCCAGCTCAGAATTTTCAACAATCAAATATAATAAGGAAAAGAATATAAATGATATTTTCTGCTACAGGTTAATAATGATAGTGCTAAATACAACGCAAAAGTGACAAATACATTAACTAACTTGACAATTTGTAGAAAAACTGAGGAAGTACTCTTAACAGCAAATAACATTTTTAAAATCTTCACCAGAGGATATTTTTCCATTGATTTTTAGAAAGAGGGTGGAAGAGAGAGGGAAAGACAGAGAAATATTGATGTGAGAGAAACATCAATTGGTTGCCTCCTGCATGAGCCCCGACCAGGGCCCAGGCCAGGGAGGAGCCTGTGATCGAGGAATATGCCCTTGACTGGAATCAAACCTGGGGACCCTTTGGTCCGCAGACCCTTTGGTCTACCTACTGAGCCAAATCGGCTAGGGCAGTGCTTCCCAAACTTTTTTTGGCCATGCCCCACCTATGTATCTCTAAAATCTGGATGCCCGCCTGTGACAAATAATTTATTATTATTCAAAAAGTGAACTTCTATTCACATGGAGGAAGCCTAAAAGGCCATTAACTTGGTCTAAACAAGCTTCCAAAGAATATGGCATCCATGAAAGAGAAAAAATAAAAGAACAAAAGGACAGTTGAAGTACTGAGAAAGAAACCACCAAGAAATTGTAAAAAACAAACAAAACAAAATGAAGTGATATGAAAAAATAGCAAATAAAGTTTCAAAACATATAATAGAGAACTGAAATGCATAAATATGTCACAATATATATTTATATACTGTATTTGAGGCCCCTAGAACCATAAGAAATGAAAAAAATTCACTGTTAATAACCATCTCGAATTGCCCCCCTTAAAAATCAAATTGCCCTCCTGTGGGGCATGGGCTCCACATTGGAAACCACTCGGCTAGGAGTTAGCAGCAAGTAGCTATTTATTAACACTTAGAGAAGGTCTCATTTGCTATTAAAATTTAGTCTCTTGTATTTGCCACTATTCTTGAAATTCATCTTTGTTTTATTCAATCCAGTCTGATAAGCCAAACCCAGAACATTTGAAGCAAACTAGAGTGTACAATGAGTCTTCTTTACCCCAAAGACCTATGAGGGAAGTACATTTTCATATTTCAGTTTGATTCAACAATCAAGTGACTTTCAGAATCAGGCTCTGCACTAGATTCTGGGGATACAAAGACGAATATGGTTAAATGTGGGGAGATAAGTAAATGTAAAGTATTACACATGCTGTGAAAAAATGTATATAAACATTAGAGCTGAGATACAAAGGAGAGAGATGGAGTAATCAATTCTATTGGAGAAAGGATAAAGGATATTTTGTGTTAATCCAGCTCTATCAGTTGAGGATAGAGATGGGAACTATCATTAGTTAAATGCCTTATTTAAAAGTATTAAGACTACAAAGGTAGAGACTGACTACAATGAACACTATAAGCAGTGCTTTCCCACTGCAACAACCTTTGATTGAATTCATAAATCATTCCTATGTAATTCATCCTAGGACAGATTCTTGCTAGCCATCACCAGACCTCTATTGTCTTAGAAATTGGATTTAAGTTAGTGGTTTATATTTTTATTAAAATTAAAATATGAGAATGGTTTTTCAGTACCAGAAGGAGAAATCTTCTCTTACCTCCAACTGTATATCAAGACCCTCTACTGGAGTAGTTAAGGAGCTGAGGTTAGGTAGAACCTGCTCACAGAAGTAAGTCACAAACCTTGTGGAATGCACATTTTTCTGTAAAAAAACACAAAACACTGAGTTGTCAAAAAAGGGAGACACATTCTCTCAAATATAACAGTAGAATGTCATTTCCCAAATGCTCACTGAGCACTACAGCATCAAGCACTGTGGCTACAAATACAATGCAGTGCAGACCCCAGAGCACCTCAGAAATAACCTCTATAAATCTTTGTTTTTTTTAATCCTCACCCGAGGATATGTTTTTATTGATTTTTTTTGAGAGAGAGACAGAGAGAGAGAACGCAAGAAACATCGATTGGTTGCCTCCTGTACGAGCCCTGACGAGGGTCTAACCAGCAATCTTTTGGTACACAGAATGACACTCCAACCAACTGAGCCACTCGGGCAGGGCAACATCTGTGTATCTTTTAAATGTTCCAGATTTTGGGGAAGATTCCAGTGTTGAATTTCAGATTGGACATTTTCATAAAGGATAGATCCTTTAAACTTTTTTTTAAACTATGGTATGCACATCCCGGAACACTGATGGCTAGAAATAGCACAAAGTCAGAGATAAAGAGCATATATACTTAAAACAACAATCTGTTAGAAAATTTAAGAAAAAAGGTTAAATTACTAAAGCAAGTATTTTAGAAACTCAGCCAAATTATAATTTATGATGCAAAATTCTCAAGATTTTAAAAAAGTCTCTTAGAAAGACTTTAAAGAAACTTCTTGCTGCTTTGGTCTCTCACCAACCCTACTCAAGCCCCCATAAACTAAATATTGATTCCACTATGTTACTACTTTTACGCAAAGGTTTGAAGAGAATGCTCAAGTGAATATCTATAGAAATATAAGCTGCCCGGCCAGCGTGGCTCAGTGGTTGAGCATCGACCTAGGAACCAGGAGGACACATGTGGATTCCAGGTCAGGGCACATGCCTGGGGTTGTGGGCTGGATCCCCAGTGTGGGGTCATCACTGATGTTTCTATCTCTCTCCCTCCCTTCCTCTCTGAAATCAATAAAAATATAGTTAAAAAAAGAAAAAACATAAGCTAACAGAGTAATGAAAATAGCATCTATGTAAAACCAAGACTCACCGAGAAGAGGGGTACCGCCTGCCGAGTGCACTGTAAGAGCCTGTCCACACAGTCGGGATCTGACGGGTTGAAGGTTTGTTCTAGGTCAGCCTGTTCAGCCACCAACTCTACAAGTTGCTGTCTTCCACTCACTGTCTGTAAGCTCTTTAACCCAGACAGGATCTTCATGAACAGGACAAATTCTTCACCAGTCACATCTTCTAGGACCTGGAAAGAGACAGTAATTCAAAATAAGTGTCTTTACCACTTGAATGGGAAAGATCAATATTAAAGCAGTGTAACATTTATTTCAGTTACTAAAGTCAGTTTGCTCTTAATGTTTCTGAAATACTGATGAGAGTATAACTTCTAGCTTCAGTCAGTTTAACTTCAGAGTAGAACATTATTATCCATACTAGAGGCCCAATGCACAAAATTCGTGCAAGAGTAGGCCTTCCCTCGGCTGCCGGCACCAGCTTCCCTCTGGCACCCGGGACTTGGGCTTCCCTCTGGCCGCAGGCAGGCACCTGGGCTTCCCACCCAGTCCTGGCTTTGTCTAGAAGGACATCTGGTCTAATTAGCATATTACACTTTTATTATTACAGGTGATTAACCCTCTAAACCAGCAGTCACCACCC